CGGTGCGCGGGCCTCTCACTGCTGTGGCCTCTCCCGTTGTGGAGCACAGGCTCCGGACGCGCAGGCTCAGCGGCCGTGGCTCACGGGCCCAGCCGCTCTGTGGCATGTGGGATCTTCCCGGACCGGGGCACGAACCCGTGTCCCCTGCATCGGCAGGCGGACTGTCAACCACCGCGCCACCAGAGAATGCCCCAAAGTTCATTTTGAAACTCATAGAACCGAAGAAACTTTTCCCGTATTTTATGTCCAAAGGAGTTAGTAATATCATTATGTGTGCCACTTGAGTCTGTGTATTGAAGGGGTACAACATAGTGACTGTAGGTATAGTCTAGAAGCTGACAATACTGAGAAATTATTTTTCCCTGCACACTATTGTCAAACTTGAAAATGTAGACTTCTAAAAATTTTAAACAAAATAATATATTTTTTGATAAAACTTCAAATTTATCCTTATGTCCCAGTTCATTCTATGATGGTGATAATAGGAGCTGGCCTTGATTTGGACAAATACTGATTTTAATACTCACCTACTATTTGACCAAAATGTATATTTAATTCAATGTACTTCTATTTTTACATAGTTTAAAATTATAAATTTATTCTATTGTTGTTAGATATCTTAAGACATGAAAGACATTTAGGATGAAGCTCATTTTCGTTGACAGTGGATGCAATTTTATATTTCAAATAGTCTTGATAATTTTTCTAACTTCTTATGAGATCTAACTACATATATTGTTATTGTTGTTTACTTTGTAATGTTGCAAAGATCTCACATTAGTGAAACGTTAGCTCTGCTATATTCTCGTTTTTGCTTTCATTATTTGCATTTGCAATCCTTAGTTTCTTAATAGAAATCTTTTAAATTCACTTCTCCATTTTCCAAGGGTTTTTTTTTCATTAAAACTATATCAATTTAACTGTAACCCTAGAAAACTCAATTTGTCAAAATATACTGAAAGCCAACAATCACTTGCAAAACTTCCACATTGTGGAACTTATTCTTACTCCTCAGAATGTCTTTTATAATATGTCTCAGGACCCTTTCATAACTGGTGAAGTGTGACACTGTAGGATATATATGTACACAGCATATATTAGTAGTTGATTTTTTGAAAAAAATGAACATAAGTAGAAGTTGTAATATTTTATTTCTGCACCCCAGTAGAACTTCCCTTTTGCTTTTTCTACTACAGATGCTAGAATACCTTCAGATGCCAGGCCTGGCCGTGTGTTCCACTCTTGGCTAATGAGATGTGAACGTCTTGGATTGAACATGGAGGTTCCCAAAAAGGCTACGTACCAGGATGAAATCAGCTAAAATGTCTTTTAGCTTTTACCCTTCTTTGTCCTGCTTGGAACCCTGGGACACTGCCACTGGGACAGAAAGACAGAAGCTACAATTGAAGCAGAATTGAGTGACATAAGGAGCCTCCCCGCTCCCAATTATTATTATCTCTGTACTACGCACTCCCAGACTTCCGGTGTGAGAGCAATAAACCTTTCAACATTTATGTTCTCTGAAAGTCCTCTTTTTTTGCAGCCAAATATTTTCTTAACTGATATAATCATGTTGCACGGTTCTGGTTCATTGTTATATGTCCAACATCACAGTTAGATAAGATCCAAGATTTGAAGGTGCATAGGGAATAAGCATTTCATTTGATTAAATATAAACGTTTTAGGGGCTTCCCTGGTGGCGCAGTAGTTGGGAGTCCGCCTGCCGATGCAGGGGACGCGGGTTCGTGCACCGGTCCGGGAGGATCCCACATGCCGCGGAGCGGCTGGGCCCGCGCATCCAGAGCCTGTGCTCCGCAGCGGGAGAGGCCACAGCAGTGAGAGGCCCATGTACCGCAAAAAAAAAAAAAAAATAAATAAAATAAATATTTTGTTTTGATAATTCCAGTAACGTCTGAATATCTGAAATTATTAGGAGAGTTGCATGATTAGAAAGATTATTTAAAATAAAGAAAAATCTAGGTTTAGAATTAAATTATTTTTATTTTTCATATTATTTGGGTGACAGTATTACCTTCAAACTTTTGCGTTATATGGGATTTTCGTTATTACAGATGACACCTTCCATAATACTTCTTCATAGGGTCTTTCCTAGAGCGCACATTTTAAATTTTGATGAAGATTAATTTGCTATTTTTCCTTATATGGATCATACTTTTGGTATCCAGTGTAAGAATTCTGCCTAGCTGTAGGTTCTGAAGATTTTCCTCCTAGAAGTTTTGTAGTTTACTGTTTTACATTTAAGCCCATGTTCCATGTTGAGTTAATTTTTGTACAAAGTGCAGGATTAGGCCTTTGGATGTCAGTTACTCCAACACCATTTGCTGAAAGGCTGTCCTTCCTCCAAAAACTTGCTTTTGTACTGCTGTCAACGATCAAATGTGATTTAATATACTCCTGAGAATAGCATATGACATTTGACATTTTCACCTCTTTTTACCCATTCTGATTTTCTTCTCTCCTTTCCAAAGGACTCTGGATCCTATTGAACCTTCTGTCTCAGCAGGCAGTCTCCTAGTTGAGGTGTAATGCGAGGACTGGTGGGTATGTACATTCAGCTCCCCACTAGGCCCTGCTCTCACCACCCTGGTGAAAGTAGAGCACTGACCGACCCTCACTGCAGATGTGAGGGGGCAGCTCAGCTCCCCTTGCTGGCAAAAATGGACACTGATTTGCATAGATTTGTTGCCTCCAAGTGCAAATATAAGCTCAGCTCCCCACTGGGCCCCGGTGACACCAGGGAGGGGAAGGGGAAGTGGAGTGCTGACTGACCCCATGTCCCACACCTTGCTTCACTTTGTTGATGCAAGCTAGGAGCAGAGGCCCAGATTCCCACTGAGCCCTACTGACACCAGTGAGGGTATATTAGTTTCCTATAGCTATCGTAACAAATTAGCACAAATTTGGTGGCTTAAAGGAACAGAACTTTATTCTCACAGTTCGGGAGGCCAGAAGTCTAAAATTAAAGTGTCGGCAGGGCCACACTTCCTCTGAAGGCTCTAGGGGAGAATCTTTCTTTGCCTCTTTCAGCTTCTGGCAGCTCTAGGTGTTGCTTGGCTTATGGCTGCACAACCCCAATCTCTGCCTCTGTCTTCACATGGCCTCCTCCTCTCCACATGTCTCTCCTTTGTGCGTCTCTTATGAGGACACTTGTGACTGGACTTAGAGCCTGATAATCCAGGATGATCTCATTCTGAGGTCCTTAACTTAATTACACCTGCCGAGATCCTTTTTCCAAATAAGGTCACATTCAAGGTTCCAGGGATTTGACAAGGATGTACCTTTTGGGGGTCACCATTCAACACACTATAGAGGGCCAAGCACTGATGCTGGGTGGGGATGGAGGCTCACATCGTGCTGGGCCTTGGTGGCACCAAGGATCAGGGAAGCTGACTGGTGACTAGCTCTTCCTTGACCTAGCTGGTTAAATCTTGCTGCTGCCAGGTGCGGGTGGAAGCTCACTCTGCCACTGAATCCCACTAACGCTACCCCAGCAGGGATATCAAAGCGCCATACCTGCCTCTGCCGGATGGAAGGTGGAAGATGAGCTCCCTGCTCAACCCTGCCAACACCACAGGCTGCGGGTGTCCAGGCACCACCGCCTGCTTCTGCAGCGCAGAGATGAGGTGGGGTGGAAGATTCGCTCTGCTTTGCCCACACGGTGGGGTAGGTGCAGCTTTTAGCTTGATGTTTGGCTGGTGTTCTGCGGGGCCACCCTTTTGTTTGCGGGCACTCCTATGGCGAGGAGAAGGCTTTTTCCTAAAGCCTCCCCCCTCTCTTTTTTTTCTTTCCTGTCAGCAGTTCCAGGTTGGAGGCTTCGGCAGCGCCCTGTCTGGAATATACGGATGGCAATAAGGAAACCCAGAGAACTCGCTGCTAAGACATTCCTCAAGTCCCCAGGTCCTTGGCCAGTTTGCCTTCTTCTTGCCACCTATGCTGGAGTCTTCCTATGCTTCTCTGTTGTGGTAAGTGCAGGTCTTCTAGTTTCATGAGGAAGGACTTGGGAGGAACGGGCTACTACATTCTGGCCAGACCAAATATTGATTCATGATTCAGCTGCAGATTCCAGATATCAGTTGTCAAACATTCTAGTGGAATTCTTTTCAATTTTTATGTTCATGCTTCCTACAGTTATCAATGTCAGCAGTAAGTGAAAGAAAAACAATTTAAAATATATTTTAATCTTTAATTAATGCTGACCTCTGCCTGTATATGCTATCTTATTGATGTTTTCTTGCAGGGCATTTTCCAGGGAAAAAAAGGAAAAGATAAAAGTGCATTAAGAACATTGGTTGTTTAACATTATTCTTATATGAGTTTAAAAACTATATTTAATGCTTCTCTTGTACAACTATGAGCTCTTATTTTCACAAAGTACCTTCAGTAGTTTGTTCAAGAATACAGTTTAGAATAGTGTAACAGTATTTATGCATATTGACTTAGAAGTAAAAGGCAGTTAACTGCCACGCATGATTTTAAATGCCCTCATTTCTTCTTTAGGAATGACGAATGCCCATCATGATGACATCCACGTCCTGATGGAATTTTGTGTGTCTTTACTCCATCCTTTACATTGAGGAGGAAGCTTACTAAATTGGAAGGCACGGTTGCTTCAATTATTGATGGGGCCAATTTTCCTCTCATTTCTGTCTGGACAAACATCACTAGTTTGGAATATGCTGGGTTCCTGTAAACAAAGGAAGAGTTAAAAAGTGTAAAGAATTTTTAAGTTTATCTATGGAGTGTACCAGTTGACAAGGAGCAGGAAGCTTGTCTTATTCGCCAGTGATTGCCCACATAGCACTTATGACAGTGTGAACAGCTACTGAAGGAAGGAAGGACAAAATGTAGAGTGATTTGCACACTCATAAGTAACTATTTTACATAAAAATATTAAGTAGTCAGACTATATCTTAAAGTCTTCAGATTTAGTTATCATTTCCTTTCTGTCATTTTATTGACTTTTTAAAATTATAAAAGTAATATATGCTTATGAAAATTTAAACTGTAGAGCATTTTCACGATTCCCCCTCACTCTGTTCACCAGAGATAATCACTATTTATAAACTTGACTGTATCTTTTCAGGTTATTGTCTATGGATATAAAAGATAGCATGTATGTACATATATGTATATGTACCCCACATATACGCACACGTACATTCTTGGTTTTACAAAAATGAGACATATTTATTTTTCTGGAATTAGTTTCATTTTCCTCTTAGTATGATATCATGCACCTCTTTCTGTGTCAATCTATACAGATCAGCTTAATTGTTTTTCATAATTGCACATGGTATTTCATACTCTAATAACCAGTCCTCTATTGACCGTCAAGGGGTTGTTTCTCACTTTTTGCCACTGTAAATAAAACTGCAGTAGGGCTTCTCTGGTGGGGCAGTGGTTAGAATCCGGCTGCCGATGCAGGGGACACGGGCTCGGGCCCCGGTCCAGGAGGATCCCGCATGCCGCGGAGCGGCTAGGCCCGTGAGCCATGGCCGCTGAGCCTGCGCGTCTGGAGCCTGTGCTCCGCAACAGGAGAGGCCGCAACAGTGAGAGGCCCGCGTACCGCAGGAAAAAAAAATTAAATAAATAAATAAAGCTGCAATAAAGCATCTTGTAATGTATCCATTTGCACTTCTATAAATACTTACATTGAGTTTCTAGGTCAAAGTTTTTGTGCATTTAACATTTTGAAATGTTATCTTCAAAGTGCCTTCCAAGAAGACTGTAGTATTTTACATTCTAACCCAGTGATCTTCAAACTAGAGTATATGAATACTTGCCAAGGGGTATGAGAGACTGAATAACATTTAAGGGAATAAATTTTCAAATCTCTAACTTCCATGTAACTTTTCCTTAAACTGATCTGAGAATACGTCTCTGATGGAGATGCTGGCTTTTCTCTTGCCACCAGCCTGTTCACACCACCCTTCTATTGCTTTACAGAACCAACGGATGCCTGTCATTCCCCCCTGAATAATACTGAATGGTACCAACGTGTTTTACTCTGGCATATAAAAATCTTTGAGATGCTAAAGGGAAAATTCAATCTATTGGAAGTGAATTGAGAAAGTGAATGACAGATGACTGGGTAATAAAACCTTACCAAGTCATGTCAATTCTTTGCTTTCAATAATATTGTAAGGATCTAATTGAGTTGTCACCTGATAGGTCGTTAAAAACAATTTTTGATTATAGGTCACTATGTAATTCACAGCACATAACTCAGAAGAATTTCAAGGGATTGAATGACAGTGCTAGGGTTGCACTCTCTCCATTTTAACTCACTCATTTATGTGAACAAAGTTTCTTATGCTTATTTTATAAAAATGCAAAGTAGACGTAGACTTGATATTAAATGTTGTCTCATTCTATTAGATGGGACATCTAGATCAGCGCTTTTGTCCCATGTTTTTTACAGTTAAATGAGTGTAATTGATAGAAGCATGGACTCTGAAGCCAGTCTGCATAGTTTGAAGCTGCGCTTTGCTATTACCTATGTGTAACCCTGAGAAAGTTACTTAATATCTCTGGGCTTCCATTTTCTTTTCTGCAAAATGGGGACAGTAATACAACCGACTTCATGAGGTAATTGTGAGGATCAAATAATTAACTTATTTGGTATATGTAAATTGTTTGTAACAGTGTCTGGCACATAGTAAGTGCTAAGTTTTGCTAATAATATGTGTTTCCAATAACAATTTGCTTTTTTTTTTTTTTTTTTTTTGTGGTACGCGGGCCTCTCACTGTTGTGGCCTCTCCCGTTGCAGAGCACAGGCTCCAGACGCGCAGGTTCAGCGGCCATGGCTCACGGGCCCAGCCACTCCACGGCATGTGGGATCTTCCCGGACCGGGGCACGAACCTGTGTCCCCTGCATCGGCAGGCGGACTCTCAACCACTGCGCCACCAGGGAAGCCCAACAATTTGCTTTTATATTGAACAATTATGTAATATATTTTTATTTTTATCAATGTGTAGTAATAACAATTTAAACCAGTACACACATATATATTTTAACATTTAGATACTTGGGGTCATAGAAAATAAAACAAATTTTAAAAATTAGGCACTTATTTTTTGCTGAGGTATGATTGAAAATAGATAGATAGTAATTAATAAAAGAACCCAAAGCATAAGATATATTCTATTAGGATAAAATTATGCAAGGGAAAAAGAGTAAAAATATGGGATCAAGGAGAAAAGAAATGACACAAACTTTCTGACTGTTAAAGGTTATATGTATTTCGAAATTGATAATGTAATGGTGCGTTTCAAGTTGTTATGGTATTTAGATTCCATTGGATGCACTTAGAAGGGTGATGTAACCATTTTTTTTAAATGTCAGGATTTAGAGTATGCTGGAAATTGCACCCTCTTAATATAATGCCATGAAAAATTTTAATATCAACTTAAAAATGCGCAAGGTAGTATACAGTTTTACAAAATTCTCTTGGGGGGTTTGAAGACCACTGCTCCAACAAACCGTGAGTGTCTATATTCTTACACCCTCTCTATGCAGAGTTTAGACTATTTTTACATTGTCTCAAATGGCTGAACTCACTAGCAGTTTGTATAGTCTTAAATCTCTATTTGAGTTTACTATGGCTTTACACACTTAACAAAGCCTTTCCAACATTTACTGTAGAGTACCTTTACTACAGATAATGTGTTTTATAAGTTTACTACAGGACTTGGGCTGCATGGAAAGAGAAGGTACAAAATTACTTTTTTGTCAGTACCCTTCTCCAGCAGGATGCTAGGCAGAGTTTCCACCCTAGGTGGGATATCTAAATCAGAGCTTTTGTCCTATGCTTTTTGCAGTGGAAAGGGAATGGTGACAAGGTGCAAGAAGGGGACTTTGCCTGTGAAGCACACTTTAGGTTGTGTAGCTTCCCAACTAGAGTCCCCACCAGCAGCTGATGTACCTAGCTGATATGGAGTAATAATCCTTCCCTGTTTTGTTCTTTCCTGCTGTGGAGAATAAAGTCCTGGCCATAGACACAAAACTGATGGTTGGGCAGAAAGGCCATATTGTCATCAACATCATCATCTGCATCAATGATCCTGTCCATTAGTGTAAATATTTGTGAATATCTTTTAGTTCTCTAATTCAGTAGAGAAAATATTAAGGAGTATGGGTCTAAATGTAATTTTATTTTGACTTCCTTCACAAAAATATTTTTCTCATATTGAGTGGTTTATATTTGACCACTATAAAGTTTTACACCTGTTTTTATGTGTCAGTTTTATTTAATATAAAATCATTTACCAAAAATTGAAACGTAACGAATTTGTAGAATGCTATACATTGAATTAATATATAGGCATTTAAAGACTATGTGTATTGGATGTTACCATCTTATCCCTAGGCTGGCCACCTGTGGGCAGTGACTCATCTCTAATTTCTCCAGCTCTTCCCTTTCTGAATTTACCTACTGGATGGCTCATTCTGCAGGTATCTGTTCTCAGTAGGTAGTCCATTGGAAAGAATTTATTCAAGGTAAAGCATTCATTGCTGATAAACCTAACTGCATTATAATTCTAGAGAATTTATTTTTAATTTGAAAAAATTCCTTAATAATTCACAGAAGTGACTCTAATGGAGAAACATAAAACATCAGGTTAAGGTTAATAGGAGGGGGTGAGGGTGTTTGTATATATGTGACTAGTGCCAGAAACCTCAAATCATACTTTATAGGGAATTATCCATTCTGATTATACTTAAGACAAAACTACTTAAAAAATTATTTTAAAAATTGTATTTAGGGGCAATTTTTTTCCCAACAGAATATACCAGAACATCTTTCTGGTGAGTTAGTTAACAAATTACAAATTGAACTAAAAAACTGTTAAAAAAGAAATATATGGAAATAACACTTACTCTTGCAGAGGTGAACATATATAGCCACGAGCATGATTACAACCACGGATATAATTTGAAGATGGAGGATATGCTGGAAAATCCACACTAGTAGCTATAAGTGATTAAAAAAAAATTAAAATGAAACTTATTCCACAAGGATGAAAAATTCTGTTTCCAGTAGCATATTTTAAAAGATGTATGACATAGCACTTGATTTAACTCAGTTATTATCAGCAGTGACATTAGCTTTATACATATATATGTATGTTTGCACATTTGAATGTGTACACAGGCCAAAAATGAAAGAATATCAGTATGATCACTATTATCCTCTCAAACTTTTTCATGTAGTACTTTGAAAGATGCTGTTATCTTTCACATACAGGAAAAACTGTTAAAAGTATTGTTCAATTACTTTCTGAGATTTGAAGCAGAAATCACAAAGAAAGAGACTATTCTATTAGGATAGTGGGTTTATAGATGTTTTGGTTTATAAATTTTTAAAATAAAATATTTGATGTAGATATTTGGTCTGTCAACAGAAGTAGTTTAAATGCCCCTTTCTGCCAATTCCCTGTAGCTAATTTCAATATATAATTAAAAATCAGTAGATTTTGATTTAGGAATTATGCACCATAACTGCATATTGTATGTGAAGTTAGAAGGGAGGTGATCTGATTATGATTATGATAATTATATATACTCTTCCAAATATATTTGTTTACTCTGTGCAACTGTTTATTCTGTGCAACAGAATATATTTGTTTATTCTGTGCAACTGAATCATGCTCTTGTCAGAGAATTTTCCTATATGATTTTAACATAAGCAATCACTTCTGTAGAAACATAATGTTAAGCACTAGCTTAGGACTAGCTTAGGAGACAAATGTGGTGGAATCAATTTCCCATTTTTATGACCTGTTTCATCATCTTAACAGAGCCAATTATGTTGGTAAAATGGTACTGCCAGAAGTGATATTAACATTTTTTTTCACTGTTTAAAATATGGAGATTATATTTGTCTCTATTTTTTAAAATTTTGTTATATTCCACAAACAAGTATGGGTCTTTTGTGAGGCACATAGTATGGTAGTTAGTACCGATTTTGGAAAATCAGAAAGACTTGAGCTGCTTATTAGCTATGTAACTTGATTTCTGTGAACTTCGGTTTCCTCATTGGTGAGAAAATGCATGCAAAATATTTAGCTCAAAGCAAGGTACACAGTAAGCTAGACAACAACAGAAACATTAAGAAGAAAACTATCAGTAATCATCAAAAACTCATTCAAAGAAAATCACTTAAAGCAAATTCAGTAGTGATCACTGAATGACTGATTATAACTATTTATTGATTTTATCTTCCATACTTATTTTTTACCTTCCCTCTGACCACTAAAAATGAGATACAAATTGAATGCTTTCAAAATATAGATAATAACAGATCTATGATTCAAATGGACAGTATTTTGTGTTATAGGCAGTGAATAAATTTTTATGTGCCCTCATTTAAAAATGAGACGACTAAATGACAACTGTATGAAACTATATGAGACAACTATGTGAAAGTGATGAACATCAGTCCCCAGTGGTATGGGCAAGAGAGCTAACTGTGTGCATGAGTGCTATCAGCAGAGCAATGACTCAGTCCTGGACTTGGAAACTTAAGAGTCCTACAGATATATCAAAGTAACTGCAACCTTGTTGGAAAATAATAATTAACAACACTTAACTGTCCCTCCCCAAGTAGTTTACAGTAAGGGAAACTATTCACATAGGAATAGTGAGATTAAATTGAATTACAGGGAAAAAAAGGGCTCTAGGCCATTGTCCTACCAAAGTCCCTTCACCATGAATTATCTTGAGTTCTTGGAGTCCAAAGATCTTTGGGGTGTGAACTGGTATGTTTTAAGTGAATAACGCAAATTAGGAAGTGGTTATGTATTTGTATTTTACAGAGTGACACGTTTTTTTTTTGACGGGGGGTGGATAAGGGTATATCAAAAGCTCCAGTTTTTAAAAGAAATATAAGCACATTTATGAAAACACCTATCTATTGAAATTTTCTTCATGAGTTTTTTCAGTTTCTAGATATACCCATTCTTTGTAATTTAAATACAAAAGTATATATCCAAAGATCAATTTTGTTTCTTAGTAGTTTTATAATGTATGTTGTGACGTTTTAGCCTGCAAGTATCTATCCATACTGAGTGCTGCAGGGTATATGCTGCAAAGAGGCCAGGAGATGCCATAATCATTGACTATGATATAAATGGCACCTCTAGAATTAGGTAAAACTTCAGGCTTATCTATATTAACATGCATTTATTGGTTTCACTAAGTAAATACAAAAATAATTAATTGAAAATATTGTTTCTTTCAAACTGTGAGTTAAAAGTAAAATAATTTATTAATGACTCATAGTAATTCCAAAGTGTGGGCAAAATGTTTCAACTTACAACTGATAATATCCATATTCCCTTCGCAATGCTTCAAATACACTAAGTCGATAAAGTCTCTGAGGGATATTGAGCCCATGGCAAAACTTTGTGTAATGGTATGACATATGAATGTGTCCTGAAACAAACTGCACACCCCAAAGATCTTTGGACTCCAAGAACTCAAGATAATTCATGGTGAAGGGACTTTGGTAGGACAATGGCCTATCATATTTGGAAAAAGCAGGGCTTTGAGGTTTTAAGAATTTATCACCAAGTCAACTTGCATTTTCAGTGTTAAAGAAAAATTAGGTGTATAATTATAAGTGCAAGGCAACAAAAGCGAAAATAAACGAGTGGGACTACATCAAACTAAAATGCCTCTGCACAGAAAAGGAAACTATCAACAAAATGAAAAGGCGACCTACAGAATGGGAGAAGATATTTGCAAATCATATATCTAACACGGGTTAATATAATTGTAAGTGTGACAGAATCAGAAAGGAATCTTGATATTATCTAACCTTTGAATTTTTAGATGAAGAAACTGAAGCCTAACATTAAATTACATGTAGAACTAGAGATATGTATAGAACTAGAACCTGGATTTCCAGTACAATATTGTGTCTACTACCCCACACTGACTAGGTAATATATTCTGAAAAATATATTGACTTAGCAGCCTGTGGTGTAAGGCCTAAAATTAAAGGCCAATATATGCACTGCTTTGACATCTGGTAAAACTGGGAGGGTTGTGAATGGCCTAACTGCAAGTTCCTCTCCCCACTCTGTTCCCACAGATAAGAACCCTTAGTCCAACAACCCTCCTTATCAGCAGGATCAGACACAATGCCTACTTATACCTGAGTAGTGCGTTTCAGTTCCCTGCTACCCTGCAGAATTATTCCAACAACGAATCAGATCCTCCTGCAGGGATCAGGGGTCACCTCAACCTCTTGAAACTACAAAGCCTGCCTTGCACAACCCCTAGTTATTCGCTCTGTTCCTGAGTGCAACTCCCATGTCACACTGCATGACATGGTGCATCCTTGAGAGTTTAGCTAAGCTACTCCACGGTACTGCTGCCTCAGTATCCGTTCTGTTTGTCCGAGCAGCCTGCAGGGGCCTTAAACTAACACTAGTCGTCTCATGTAAGGACACCCCCAGATGACAGCCCTCAGAGTCACAAGCAAATGTAAGTTCCTGATATGACTTCCCCAACAGCACTTCTGATCAACTGTCTCTCCCACTTCCCAGGGCCTTCCCCTTGTGAGCACCTTAGGTAAGATGCCCCCTGTGGAGCTTACCAAAACCCTGCTCTTTTTGGTTCCAATTGATCAATCTGGCCTTAGCCCAGGAACCCCAAAGCACTCCACCCACAGACACTAATAAAGGCATGTGCCTCAGGTCCTGCCTCTCTCTGTCTGCAGCCTGCCTTGACCTCCCCACATGGGGCCCTTGAGCCGTGCTGTACACTTCCTCCTCAACCTGTGAGTAATAAACTTCTCTATTTCAACTTCTCTTGTGGTCTTTTTTTGAACCTGGCTCACTATTGGCACCCTGTGCTCCACTAACAAATGTTAATTTAACAAAGTCTTAACAGTCCTTCCTGGGCTGTGATTAAGGATTAACAAAGTGCTGTGGATCTCATTTGTCTAGTGCTGGTGTCATGTGTTTGACCACCACCATACCCCTAGAGCAGGAATCCCTTCCTCACCAATGGGGTGAATGAGTCAGTTAAAATGCACCCCTGGAAGTGAATGCTACAAACATTCACTGCAAGGCAGACTAATGCTTCTCACAGTATAATGTGATTCAGAGATACTGTGGTATACTGGAAAAGGCATCAAATTTGGAATGAGGAGATCAGGTATAAGTCCTGGTTATACCATACATTGGCTGTGGTGACCTTGGGCAAATCACAAAATTCCTCTGAATACGTTTTCAAGTTTTTTGATGCCAAATCTAGTATACTTTCCATTATTACAGCTGACTTGCAGCAACAGCAGAAATATCTGAAATGCTAATGAAACTGTATAATTAGTATCATACAATCATGAATGAAACAGTCCAATGTTTGGATTTTCATTTGTGATGGGCCATGTTCAAATCCCAAGAAGGTCACGGACAGGCATTCTTTGTGGATAAGAACTTCAAGGCCTCTCTACAAGATGAATCTGCTTTACCTTTCTGGGCTTTTCTACAATCTCACTCCCATCCCAGATTTCAAAATCAGTTTAATAAAAGGAGTTAAAGTTAACCTACAGAGTTCTAAATAAATGATAAGGTGATGGCAGATATGTGGGCCATTTGTTTTGATGAGTGGAATGCAGCTTGGAGACTCTAAGAACCAAAGACTCAGTGATGTGGAATTTTACAAATGCAAGTGTTTAAGTTTGCATTACTCCAACATTCACATTTACCAGCTCCTTCTAATATAGTTATTATTAGCCAAACAGTAGGACTCAATTTTTAAAAGCCGCTTATGAGGTATAATTTACATACTGTGAAGTCTAGCAGTCTTAATAAGTGTCAGACCTATACTGTGTTGTACCAGACTTCAGAATCCCTCACCCCACTCCTGTCTTCTTCCTGTTCCTCCTTCTTTCTACCAGCTAACAGCCTTTCTCATTTCATTCATGTTTTTCTCCTCCTGAGCTTTCACTCTACCCTCACCTCACCCTGATCTTCTCTCGCCTTTTAAGCCCTATTTGCCTCTTGCATTCTGTCTTTCTTTCTCTCACATCTATGACTTTAGATTTCTAGTCCATTACTTATATTTTTCTTTTCTCTGTTTTTATTCTCCCTCTTCACTTCTGAGATAATGTATTTGAAAGTGTTTCTAAAACCACAATATAATGTTATTTCACACTTACTCTTTAAAAAAGTCACATGCTGTTTGTTCTTAAGTCCTTACAGTAAGTGTCTACAATGTTCCTGTTATCTAGTGTATTATGACTAAGATAAATCTACTGACTTCCCATCAACAAGGCATGCTTAATCTTTTTATTCCACCTAATGGAGGAGGTGAATCCATGAGTTCAGTCCCCTCAGTAACTGAAGGCACACATCTGCAGGAGAGCTGACCAAGTTCAGAATGTGGTATTCATTTAAAACAGAATAAAGGTAATTGGAATTGAACTCTTGACTAATAAAGAAGGAAGTTTTAAGCTTTTTATAAAAATTTCCACTTGATTTGAACCTATAAAATACAAAGTGTCCACATAATACAGATTTAATAAACTCAAATCACTAAGATAGAAAACTAAAAGTGTACTCATACAGTGAAAGTCCAATATTAAACAGTAAATTACCGAATCAATTTTTTGTACCATGCTGTACATTTTCAGTGATTTGTCCCATGTGACCCTGTTTTCAGGTTTGTAGAGGAAATCAGATAGTTTAGATGCTGATTCTGGAATTATTCCTTCAACACGATATCTAGAGTTAACAAAATAAAGAAAATTCAAAATTTAATAAGTTTATTCTAAGTTGAAAATATAATGCTATCACAGTATAAAGCACACTGATTTAGCAAATAATGTAAAGAAAACTTGAAGGTAATATCAGCAATTTAAAATACTAATATTTGGGCTTCCCTGGTGGCGCAGTGGTTGAGAGTCCGCCTGCCGATGCAGGGGTCACGGGTTCGTGCCCCTGTCCAGGAAGATCCCACATCCCGCGGAGCGGCTAGGCTCGTGAGCCATGGCCGCTGAGCCTGCGCGTCCGGAGCCTGTGCTCCGCAACGGGAGAGGCCACAACAGTGAGAGGCCCGCGTACCACAAAAAAATAATAATAATAAAAAAATAAAATACTAATATTCAATTGGAAGTAGCCAGGTTTATATAAATATGCATTGTAATAATATAAATTATTTTAAAATTCATTTTTCTACAAATTTTGTTTATAATGTTTCTATAGTTGTCTTTTTCAAGGGTCTACTTTCATTTAGAATTTTTCTAAACTCTTTCTTATAAACATTTACCTACTGTATTTATCATAAGCCAACAGTAATTCATGAGAAGTTTGTGTGGTTGTGCAATATCTTGTGGCCTTAATTCTTAATTGAAGGATGTAATACGGTCTAAAGCAGTGGTCAGCAAACTTTTCAGTAAAGGGCCAGATGGTAAATAATTTAGGCTTTGCAAGCTTCATGTTCTATGTTGCAACTATTCAACTTTGCCAGTGTATCAGTGAAGCAGCCATAGACAATATATAATGGGCACGCTTGTGTTACAATTAAACTCCATTTATAGACATTGACTTCTGAATTTCATTTATTTTTCACATGTCAAGGTTTGGAGAAGTAACTAACCTTTATGTTAATCCATCAATAGAATTGGGTTGGGCTATCACAACCAATGAAGTTAGGACAATGTGAGAAAACTGGATTAAAACCCACTATTTAACAGTGAGTTGTTAAATGAAAATGAAATCTGAATAATATTGGCCATACATTCTCTCTCTGTTAATCATTCTTTCTAAACTAAGGAGATAGGTTTAAGTAAAATCAAAATTTTAAACCTCTAAAAAGTTAAAATTTTTGGAGGAAGTGAGGTAAAAACTAAATGCTATTATTACAGAAAATAGTTGTTATATTTATGAAGAGTTCTTCCTCTGAACCTTGTTTTTATGATTTGGTAAACAGGTAAGTCATTAGACTATTTTTTTGTATGTTAGTCTCTCTTTAAAAGCTCAACTGGTCCCTAGTTTTCTCTGTGAGATATCCTAAAATTTTCTTAGTATGTAAGGTTTCCTTCCTTCAGATCTACAAAGTTTTTAAGAGCTTATTATTAAACTCTATAGAAGACAGTGACAAAACAACCTGAATAATTATCAGGTCCTTTGAAAAAGAAGGCAGATGTAAAACAGTTAAAATTTAAGCACAAAACTATTGTTAAGGGGTTTGTATATACCTCCCTAGAATGCTTTTTTAAATTAATCTGTTCTCTAATTATATTGTAAATTTTGAGGATAAAGAGTTTTTGACTTTTTTGTATTTCTAACTAACATCGAATTAAGTATCTTTTATTAAGCACTTACTATATACCTACTGATAATGACTACCCTTAATCTTTTAATAGCATTCTTTTATTGACTGAGTGATCAAACATTTACTATTTATTATGTTGACGCTTGAACAACATGAAAGTTATCAGTACTGAGCCTCATGCAGTCAAAAATCCGTGTATAACTTTAGAGTCGGATTTATGTATCTGTGGTTCCTCCATATCCACAGTTCCACATTCAAAGATTCAATCAACTGCAGACCCTGTGGTACTGTAATATGTATTTATCAAGAAAAAATCCATGAAGTTAAAACCCGTGTTGTTTAAGGGTTAACTATATATATACTTCAGCCTAGCAGAGAGTCAGACATATAATCAAAAAATTATTATATGGTTTGGTAAGTGTTGAAGAGACAGAAAGCAAAAAAGAAAAAAATCAAGGTGAGAAGGGGAATAATGTGCTGAAGCTCTTTTTGGAAGGTTTGCCCAAACCCTTTTATAGTTATTCATGATAAAATTAGGGATGGACAATATTGAAATGGAGGACATTTAGGCATCAGCTGCTTTGTTTCTTCTATTTTGGAGAGGAAGTTTCGATTTTTAACTTTAAGTAACGGTACATACATTACATATAATTTACAAAAGCATTTTGCTTTTTTCTTTCAAAACTTTGTTTTAAAATTGTATGCATATGGATAGCTATCCTTCTTGTATTATATTTTAAATGCTTAGTATAGAAGTTCTCTATATTTTTAATTAAAATCCTTTATTAATTATGTATATTGCAAATATTATATCTCTGGCTACAGCCTACCTTTTCACTTATTTCTTTTGGTACAGAAGTGTTTCACTTTACCATAGTCAATTTGACCAATATTTTCCATTATGGTTTGTGCTTTTTATGTCTTCTACAAGATATCCTTCCCTACTTCAAGATCATTAAGCTACTTTCACACATTTTCTCCTACAATTTTATAGTTTGTATTCACATTTAGGACTTTAATCTACCTGGAATGGATATTTGTGTATAGTGTGAGGTCAGCATCTAATTTTACTTTTTACATATGAATAATCACTTATGTTAGCACAACTGATTATAAATAGTTCATCCTTTTCCATTTTTTTGTAATGCCTTATCTGTTACATATCAATTTTCCACACATGTGTAGGGCCTGATCATACCCATATATTATTGCAGAGCCTCCCTGACATCTGAAAGAAGCTCCCTAGAAGAGGCAGGAACTTAATAAAAACTCTCTTGATTGAAGTTGGCTTGTAATAATTCTAAATTAATACTTTACACCTGCATCTGCATAGTTCTTTACACTGAGATACTTAATATTTGATTTTGCTGATGTTTCATAGTTGCTAGTACACACAGGCAATAAAATTAAAATGTTAAGAGAGTACCATATAGAGTCAGCCCACCTGTTTTCAAATTCTAGATCTAGCTCTTACCAGTTTTCTGACCTTAGGCAGGTTACTTATTTGAAGTCTTGGGTTTCTCATATGTAGAGAGAGTAATATTTACCTCATAGGGTTGTCATGAGGACTGAATAAATTAATATATTTACAGGATAGTACATGGCATGTATTAACTGTTCAATACATGTTAGCCATTATTATTTCACATATATTGAGTCTTTTATGATAGTCACCCCACTCTGCCTTGTATTATAGGTATTTATGTACTTTTCTCTCTTACAAAGACTAAAAACTCCTTGAGGAGCAAATCTGCTGGATAAAATAATGAAAAATTAACCTTAAGAGGTTTTTTTCTTGAGAATGTCAAGATTATAAGCTTTACAAGTATATGCATTTTGTTTTGATCACCACTATACTACCAGCACCTAGAAAGTGATTAATGAATAACTGAATATAATGAATGAACAACATCATTTTAAATAAGTCTAGATACCTAGCTGAACCTTGCCAACTCCTGGTTTAGACTGTCTACTCAATGGCTAATTGTTCATTTTCCAGTCATTTGTAAAGGTGAGAGAAGTCTGAGTTATTGGTATTATATGACTGCAAGGCAGAAATTATTTATTTTGCTTCCTATAAGATTATGAAATATAATTAAAGTTGTGTCTTGGGTAGAGGGTAGGTTACTAGTTAAAAAGTACCTTACCTTGGCCTTCCCTGGTGGCACAGTGGTTAAGAATCCACCTGCCAATGCAGGGGACACAGGTTCAAGCCCGGGTCCGGGAAGATCCCACATGCCGTGGAGCAACTAAGCCCGTGTGCCACAACTACTGAGCCTGCATGCCACAACTACTGAAGCCCGTGCGCCTAGAGCCCGTGCTCCGCAACAAGAGAAGCCACTGCAATGAGAAGCCCACGCACCTCAACAAAGAGTAGCCCCCGCTCGCCGCAACTAGAGAAAGCCCGTGGGCAGCAACGAAGACCCAACGCAGCCAAAAATAAACAAACCAAATTTAAAAAAATGAATAAAATCTATCTTTAAAAAAAAGGTACCTTATCTTAATTCACTAGTTGGAGGTGTATTGGAGTTACTGGCTTTTAAAAAATATGTAAATATCATGCCTCTTTGAAAACATAAAACTTCTCTGTCTTGAATACTTGAATCTATCACTGAATGAGCAATTCAGTATCTACTGTGTTCAAGACTCTTCAGAGATATCAATTTTGTCATATTTGAATCTAAGAACTATATTTTTATATCTGTTGATCATTAAAATGATTGGTTCTTTGGATATTTTACTAAGATCTATAATAAAGCTTCATGCTCATTATGAATAAAGTGACCAAGTCAAATTAAAAATATTTTAATTATTCTCTCTTGTCTCTCACAGTTTCTGACAAGCTTTAGCTGGTAGGTGGGATAATGGATACATGAAATTATGTTTCTTACAGATCATCATTTCATGAAGCAATGAACACCTTTTAGTAAATGTGCATTTGTTTCAACATGCTAATTTGAACATGCATCTCTAAATCATTTTATAGCCTTTTATGGCTCTGTGAATGAGTACTGCTGAGCAGTAAACTAGGAGGACAAGGGAGGAGAAAAACAGTGGAAAGTGCCTGTTTTTGCATAACTGGGGAAGCACCTGTAAGATGATAGGCTTTTTAGTGATCTTATTTTTGGCATTTCCTATGTGACAATTAGAGCTGGGAGTGGGACTTCCAGAGTGGCTATGTGAGGGGCTAAGGAAACCCTCTTCTACAGTCATTGAACTGGTGAACGTTACTTTTAAAAACTACTTAAATTCCCTAGAAATTGACCCAACAGCACACAGGAAATGAAGAAACATTTATTCAAGAAAATCTACTAAATCTAGGTAGGAAAAGTCAGAGTCTGTAGCATTTGAGCCACGACCTCCTTCCAGCCACCCCCCGCACTCTACGGTAGCTCTGCTCCAGCTGGGTACAGACTAGAAGACAGGGGCTCCCTCTCCCCACGAGATC